CAGAAAGGGGTCAGTCAAGTTGGAATGGCAACATCCTTCTCTAAATTGTCCCCCTGCATTGCCCACAAAAGGGTGAGTCAAGTTGGAATGACCACTTCCTTCTCTAGATTTAGCCCCTGCATTGCCCACACAAAGGGGTGAGTCAAGTTGAAGTGGCAACATCCTTCTCTAAATTTTATCCTCGGGTGGCTCACCAAGGGGCGCGTCAACTTGGAAGGGCCACTTCCTTCTTAAAATTTTGCCCCTGCATTGCCCACCAAAGGGTGCGTCAAGTTGGAAGGGCAACACCCTTCTCTAAATTTTACCCCTGCATGGCCCACAAAAGGGTGAGTCAAGTTGGAAGGGCCACTTCCTTCTCTAAATTTTACCCCTGCATTGCCCACACAAAGGGGTGAGTCAAGTTGGAATGGCAACATCCTTCTCTAAATTTCACCCCTGCATGGTCAACATACAGGGGTGAGTCAAGTTGGAATGGCAACATCCTTCTTGAATTTTTCCCATTGCATTGCCAACATAAAGGGTGAGTCAAGTTGGAATGGCAACATCCTTCTCTAAAATTTACCCTCGGGTGGCTCACCAAAGGGCGCGTCAACTTGGAAGGGCAACTCCTCTAAATTTTACCCTGCATTGCCCACACAATGGGGTCAGTCAAGTTGAAATGGCAACATCATTCTTTAAATTTTACCCCTGCGTTGCCCACAAAAGGGTGAGCCAAGTTGGAATGACGCTTCCTTCTAAATTTGACCCCTGCATTGCCCACACAAAGGGGCGAGTCAAGTTGAAATGGCAACATCCTTCTCTGAATTTTGTCCCCTGCATGGCCCACCAAAGGGTGACTCAACTTGGAAGGGCAAAATCCTTCTCTAAATTCTACCTCTGCATGGCCCACAAAAGGGTGAGTCAAGTTGGAAGGGCCACTTCCTTGTCTAAATTTTACCCCTGCTTTGCCCGCATAAAGGGCGAGTCAAGTTGAAGTGGCAACATCCTTCCCTAAATTGTCTCCTCGGGTGGCTCATCAAAGCGCGCGTCAACTTGGAAGGGTAACTTCATCCTCTAAATTTTACCCCTGCTTTTCCCACACGGGGGTGAGTCAAGCTCAAACGGCTACATCTTTCTCTAAATTCTACCTCTGCATGGCCCACAAAAGGGTGCGTCAAGTTGGAAGGGCCACTTCTTTCTGTAAATTTACCCCTGCATTGACAAAGCAACATCCTTCTCTAAATTCCGGTCACCGGTCACCGCCCCGGTCACTGGTCCGTCTCCGGTCCGGTCCGGCCTGGTCACCGGTCCGGTCACCGGCCCGGTCACCAGTCACCGGCCCGGTCACCGGTCACCGGTCACCGGCCCGGTCACCGGTCCGGTCTCCGGCCCGGTCTGCGGCCCGGCCCGGTCCCGGCCCGGTCACCGGTCCGGTCTCCGGCCCGTCTCCGGCCCGGTCTGCGGTCCGGTCTCCCGCCCGGTCCTGTCACCGGTCCGGTCACCAGTCCCGTCTCCGGTCACCGGTCTGGTCACCGGCCCGGTCACCGGTCACCGGTCTGGTCACCGGCCCGGTCCGGTCACCGGCCTGGTCACCGGTCAGGTCCCCGGCCCGGTCTCCGGTCACCGGTCTGGTCACCGGCCCGGTCACCGGTCACCGGCCCGGTCACCGGTCCGGTCTCCGGTCTCCGGCCCGGTCTCCGGTCACCGGCCCGGTCACCGGTGCGGTCTCCGGTCTCCGGCCCGGTCTCCGGCCCGGTCTCCGGTGCGGTCTCCGGCCCGGCCCGGTCCGGTCACCGGCCCGGTCACCGGTCACCGACAAAAAAAAAGAAGTATATACTGCAACTTGTCGCATATTATATAGCTCCAAACAGTGCTTCGGGAATTTCCAATGTTTACCACCCCCTGACACCGGGGGTGACACCGGTACAGTTCGGGGCCCCCCCCCGTAGAGCCGGAGAGTGGCCGAGTTCAGCGGCCTCCAAGGTCCATCGAGAAGCAGAAGCCATCGCAGGGCGATGATCCTGAAACCGATGAGCCGGCCATGTTGCCGATCGCCGCGCAGGCGCGCGAATGGTCGAAGCCGAGCCGAGCCCCAAGTTGTGCGAACCTGTTTTTGGGTGCACCGGGGGCGCGGCTGCTTTTTTGGGGGTGGCGGTGGCCGTGGTTCTTTCTTCCTCGCTTTCTTTGCTTTTCTTTCGTTTTTTTGGGGTGGTGGTGGCTGGTTCTTTTGCAGTTGGAAGAGTTTTCAATGTTGTCCTGTCCTTCCTGCCCACCGACCGGTCGGTCAACCGAGCCGCTCCGGGGGTTTCACCCGGCCGTCCGGCGTTGGATTTCCACCATGGTGCCATCGATTCCAGTCGGGAGGCGTTGGGGACGAATCACGCCACCGCACCTTTTTCCTTCCCAGACTCCCAGACGCGACTAATATGACTGCCATAGGACTGCCGATCAGTTGGGTTGGTTTTGGGGGTCAATGTAGCCATATATATATATATATTATACTGTATATATATATATATACTGTATATATATATATATCCATATATTCCATACATGGAGTCTACGGGGTTGGCAAGTGCGGTGAACATTTTTTTTTCAAATTTTCCGGTGATCGTCGACAAGGAGCCAGAAGACAAGGAACCTGAAGAGAAGGGGATTGAAGACAAGGAGGAGATCGTCGAGTTGGTTGGGAGCTCAGCTGGCCGCGGTGTTTGTTCCCAGTGTTTGTTTTTGCCCAAAAGAGATGGTCATGAGAGGGACGGGGATGTGGAAGGGAGTGGAGAGCGTCCCGTTGTGGAGGATTTAGACAGGATCCAAAAAAGGTACCACCGAAGTCTTCAGGACACTCCTAGACTTGGGTCACGTGACTTCGAAGGAGCAACGGGTTCCAGTACTCGTACCTCCGTTCGGAAGGGTTTCCCAAAAAGGCCACCGTTCGATGCCCTTTCACCTTGCGGGAGGTGGGGGGGGGGTGAGGAGGCGGTTTCGGTTTCGGTGTTCTTCTCCGTCAGGCCAGATCCGACGGGTCGGTCCTGGATGTTCCGGTGGAATTCTGATTCCGAAGCCACCCCAGACGCGACCTGTCTGGCAGTGGCCATAGGACTGCCGAGAAACGGCCAGGGGGTGGTTGACTGGGGGGTCACTGTAGCCATTATATTCTATACATGGAGCCTATGGGTACGAACGCAGAAAAATGTGAGCCTGGTGGCATCCGCCGTGGTGACGTTTCCGAGGTCCGCCCAGAGATGCTGGAGGCTCCAAAGGGATGTGTTGGGGCGGAAAGGGTTTTGGCAACTATTTGGAAGAACTCCTGGACTTAGATGCTACTAGATGACCATCTTACAGAACATCCTAGATATACAACATAATAAGATTGTTCAAACTTGATCTATATAAATTGATTGGTGACACGTACTGTATCCATGCACACTCTGACCCGAACTCGTCTGCCCCTCAGAGAAGCCAGGACCGTCCTATGTTCGGCGCGTCCGTTGGGACATGTCATCTCGGGTGCCAACAGGCTCAGTTTCTTTTAAGGGGTGTCCTAGAAACCTTGGCAGCTGCAAGTTCCTTTCATGGTTCTTTCAATCAGAAGGGTGTTCGGTTCTCTCAACTGTGGCCACCGTGCGGGTGGCCTCCGTGCGGGTGGCCTCCGTGCAGCTGCCGGTCCGTTGGGACCTCCGTCGGTCGCACGGTGTAACTCGGAGGAGTGGCGAAGGCAAACCGCCATGGAGTACAACCGCATGATTACCGAGAGCAGGCGATGGGGGACGGGACCAACGAGTCGTCCTTGGAGTTCCGGGTCGCTGACGAACGTTCGTAGACTTTTCAGGACATCTGCTTTATTGGGGCCAGCAGTCCTGACGGAAGGCCCTGGAATTCCAGATGACTAATACTTTTTTGGGTAATTTTGTCCGGTTGAAGTAAAGCAAGTTCCTTTTGGACTTACCTCAAGCCACCTAAAGACCAGAATGATAGAAAACATAGATGCAACAAACAGATGCATCGTCTAGGACTCCCAAGGAGGATCATCTTCCGTCCTTACAGCCTCACAGCCTCACAGTCACCTCTTCCGTGGAACATCCGAGCGCTTTCCAAGCGGCACGAGGCGTATGCATGCGGAGAGCTTCACGCGTGCGGGGTCGGGGGAACTCAGAGAGGTTTAAACGGAAGGTGCGGTTCACAGTTTTTCTTTGGACATGTTCAAAGATTTTTCGCATTTCGCCACTTTTTTTTGAGTACCCAGCTGGGTTGGAACACACCATTGATTATGGGGAGTTTACACTACAAAACCAGATCAACCACTTTAAGAATGATCTTGAACTTCCAGGCAACACATATACACATGTATATATTGTGAAGGAACATGCAGAAACACATCATGTTTCGTCTTGCTCAATTCAGTCAAGGCTTTCTGATACCTTTTGGGCCACCGATGCAGCAAACGGCAGTCGTTCGGCGCTCTCTCTTCACCGTTCACGGCTCGTCGCAGCGGCGGCCGTCGCCTCTCGGGTGTCGTGACGAGGCCTGCAAATCGCTACGGTGAGTTAGGAGAGCTTCCTGCCTTCGAAGAAGGCGGTGGATCGGGGAGAACGAGGGCTCTTTCTGAGAGATCGGAGATGGGCCGTTTCCAGAGGTGACTCGTGGTCGGCTGGGGAAAGGTAGCAGATGGCATGTGAAAAAGGTCTGTTTGAGAGGTAGCAACACATACCTTTGAACTAGAGAGTGTCAACGCATGTGAGTGCGCAGTCCTGCTTCACTGGAGGTCCTCTTCACCGAGTCACTGCTGTTTCCGCACGACGGCGCCAGGCAGGCATGTGCCGACCTTGGCGCTGATTAATCCTATGCCGGACACCCAAGACCGCCCATCGGGAACTGGAGAGAAGCGAGGCAACGGACGAGGTGGGTGATTCGAAGCACAGAAGAGTTAAAGACGGCGGGGAAACATGGGAAACTCTTTGGTCAAAGCATGCAGTTTTTGTTCACTGCACAACCTCTGTGAGGTTTTGATGAGGCCCCCTAGACTAAGCACAACCTCAAGTTTTGAGACATGTAGAGGCCTGTGCTGGTATGTAGTACAACAAGCCTTAGTGCGACAGGGCAGACTTGGGCAGCAGCGTCATCAATTGGCCTGCATGATGGGTCAATGACTGCTTTTCATCTCCATTCAGAGCCATTCGAGGGCCACGGAGATTGCCTCCACAGCGCTATCTCGCAGGCTTTCCAAACTAGCACTAGCAACTACTTATTCATGCTTAGACTGCGTGACCGAACGCTGGTGCCATGTCGATCTACAGATGCATTTTTGTTTGCCTGACGCTTTGGTGGACGCAGATTGCATTTTTGCAAGGCGCCTTCACAGGCATCACATATCCATGGCCAATCAAAACCAGAACCAGAAGAAACTACCGTCTTTCATTCGCTGCAGGCCTTTGGGTTTTGATTTCCTTGTCAGTCTGTGCACGGGGAGAACCCATATCGTCCGCGATGTCATGACATTCAGCTTCTGGAAAAGCATCATTGGAGATCATGTGCAGTTTTGCTGCCGCACCTCTCAGCTCTTTCTAGGCCGGCCCTCCTCCCGACCTCGCCCTGTCCGCATTGCACGTTCAGTGCGGGAGGAGAAGCGGCCTCCACGCAGACGGAAGGAACGTTCGCCCAGGTGCAGAGGGTTTGGTGAAGCTACCTACCCCCCCCGAGGGCAATGAAGCTGGTACAGGAATCGTTTCTTCAAAGTGCTAGTTCTTGTTTGAGCATTTGGAGAGGAAGGAACTGTCGAAGGAAAGAAGGAACGTGAAACTTTTCACAGCCCTAGCTAATTTGATCAATCCTTCCAATGAAGCCAGGCCGGTAGTACCATAGTAGGTGTGTTGGGTTTGCCGGCCTTTTCATGATCCATTTCCAGAGGAGTGAATTTGAAAGATGACCGCATGTCAGTACAGAACAGCGAATAGTGTATTTGCCACCTCTTTTCACCTGGTTTAGACTAACACTTGCTTGGGTGAACGAAAGATAACCCTGATGTGCTTTGGACACCTTCGAGAGGTTTGCCGGAGAAGATTTTGGTTTTATCCGCAACCAGATGCACGAGGCAGCCCTGAGAGGAGATTTGAACAGGGCTGCAGAGTGCTTTCAATGGCTTGGTGCGAATCCAGACTTTGTCGTTGACGGCAATGCCATCACCACCGTCATTCAAGCCGCTGCCAACGGAGGAAACTTCCAGGGTGCTCAAGCTTGGTTTGGAAAGCTCTTGGATTATGGCCTAAATGCAACTATTGCCTCATATACTGCTGTGATTACAGCTGCGGCTAAAAATGGATTGAAGAACGAGGCCAAGGAGTGGTTTGAGGCCATGCAATACGATCAAATCAAACCAGATACAGCGGCTTTTGGCGCAGTAATGTCCGCTTTCGCCAATTCTGGAGACTTGATCGAGACAGAGAACTATTTGGATATGATGAGTGCGCGTGGCTTGAAACCCAATCGGATTATCTTTGGGATAGCCACTCGTTGCATGGGATTCCTACAGCTTTTAGGGTCGGGGTTTGTTGTTGCCATCACCCCTCAAGGTTTGCTTCCCGCTCATCTTTCCACCCAGGTGCTTCGTGCCGCGTCAAGGACAGGAAATGAAGCCACTGCACTGAAATGGTTTGAAAGGATGAAGAAGGCTGGCATGAAACCAGGTGTCAGGGAGTTCACTGAGCTTATCAATCTAGCAGGGCGTCAGGGGAACGTTCTCGCAGCCGACGCTTCCACGCTTTCTTCATCAAACCGTTTGACGTTTTTCTCACTTCTTTTTTAAACGAGTTTGGGCGCAGAATTTCCAGGGTCAGACGCAAGGCTCGTTGCTGTTACGACACATGCTGAGGAGAACCACTTCAATAATATGCTGGAAGCAGCCGTGGTGCCAGACAAGATTGCCTACAGCTCTGTCATGAAAGCAGCAACCAGGGCGAAGGATGTGGACCTTGCTGCTGCCTATTTCAAGAGAATGAAAGATTGCAAGATGATTCCCTCGGCGGTTGCCTATGTTACTTTGATGAGAGGGTTGCTGAATTCAGGCAAGTATGATGAAGCCTTTGGCATATTTAGAGAGATGCAGACAGCAGGGCATGCCAGCAACAGCATGGACTACAATGATGCATTCACGTGCTTGTGGCATTTAAAGCGAGAGGACGAGATTGAGCCGCTGCTGCAGGAAATGCTGTCGAAGAAAGTGAAACTGACTGGCACTTGCGTGACAACTCTCCAGACAGCACTGGGGAGAAACGCATATCTTGATCTGCGCCAGAAATATCAACTGGACGCACACCAGGACCAAGGCAATAGGCAAATTGCATCAAAAATCAAGCGAAAACAAGATGCAAAACTTGAGAACATGCTTCGGGATCAGATGAAGGCCAAGCTTCGTAGGCGAGAAGTGTTCCGAGCCGAGGACGGGTGTTGACGTCAGACTTGAGGCCCTGGGGCCCATTGGTTCCAGACGTTGTCCCTCCTGAGTCCCGAGTCCTGAGCCGCAGGCCGTTTGCAAGGAATATCTCCTTGTGCCACCCAATGGATGCGAGTGCCAAGGAGGATCGGAGTCGGAGAATGTGGAAAAGATGGCAGCTGTTGGTCTTGTGGGCCCAAACTTGGAATGTAAATGGTTGCATACCCAAGCGGACCAGCTCGAACCAGCTCGAATGTGGACCAAGGGACTCACCGGCCAGCAAGAGCCCAGATCTAGGTGTGTTACCCAGATCTGGGGATGCCTGGGTGAACACGTTTCGCTCCCGAACAACCTGTTTAGGGGCTCCTGGCCGTACTACTAGGAGCAAGGTTCGCTACGAACGGGGCGAACCTGGGGCGAACCTGGCATCGCTACGACCGGAGCGATCGGACGCCTTTAGCGAACGGCTTCAGTTCGCCCTGCCAGCTCTCCGCCCAGAAGCCCAGGTCTGGTGCAGCTGCTGGGATGGATATTTTGCAGGTGGCCAGGCGTTGCGATTACTACAAGGCGTGGCGGGTGTGGCGTTCACGGCGCTGTGAAAGTACTCTAATCCAGCTGTGGTGGGCTGTCCTAATCCAGCTTAAGAGAAGATGATTCAAATAGCCACGGTGAACATCATAATTATACATATGACGAGGCTCTTGATGACTCAAAGACGTAAGAACATATGACGAGGCTTTAGCCATCTAAATGAGGGGGTTCTATGAATCAAGAGTCTACTTTCCTGGAAAGCCACCGGACCTTCAGCCCCGGACTCCAGACCGCCCGGTCTGGTCTGTTTCACCACCGTTCCGAGAGCTTTTTTCTCGGATTGTGTGGCCATCGGATGTGTGGCACGTCCTGGAACATGAGTCCCATGTGTACCATTTTAAAGAAACAACCACCTTGGCATGGACATTCTCTCCCCTAACAACGCATCACACATACAGCCGTGCGGCCGGCCTTGGTGGGGCCAGGAACGATTCTTCAACATTATCGATGTTGCTCGACACTCAGTTGGCTGGTCGTCCAAATGGTCGTCCGGCTCGCTGTGGTCCAAAACAGAACTCACCCGAAGGTTGTGAAAGGATGTCACCCCTCAATTTTGGAGCCATATATATATATATATATATATGTGGCATACTGCGACAGAGAAGCTTTTTGGAGCTATTCATGGACACCGGTGGTTTTCTGTGGTGCTGGTGGTTTTCTGTTTGGTGCCGGTCGTTTCATATACCTCCGACATCCTCCGACCACTTGTGTGGATTTGGATGCCCGCTCGCTCGTGCACCGCTCCGTGAGAACGTAAGCTGAGCTAAGGTCAAAGGCCAACATCGAGGTGGGCTGCTTGATGTGTTCAGGCGCCAAAGATGAGTTGTCAGTCAGTTCGATGAGATCTCGCTGGGGTTTGCTGGGGTGGCATTTTCCCATTTCTTCGCTGGCCAAAGCAAAGAGGGGTGATGAATGAAAGTACTTTTGACCAACCCACCTAAACTCGTCACGAGTTTTGTTTTCTTGGCATTTTTTTTGCTGTCAATTGATCTGATGCTTCCGTCTTGGCGGTTTGGGCGTGTCTCTTTCTTCATCAAAGTAGATGGAGCTCCCCTGGAATCATTGGCCGGAGAAGGTGCATGACACCTTGCCAGAATTGGTATTCGGATTGAAAAGGGTCATCCGCCTTCACTTCCATGATGATTCAAACTGAATGTGGAAAGAGTCTGTATGAAAGAACACCACATTCCAGACGACTGTAATACAGACTACAGACTTCATACTACTGTACTCTCATACAGACTACATGAAAGAGCCATGCATCAAAAGTGACTACTGCCGGCGGGAGCTGAACTTCACCGCGGGTCCCTCTGGAACCAAAGCGCTCGGATCTGCGTGAGCCGTGCGGAGCGGTGTGTGACTCGTGGTGTGCAGGATTGAGCTGTGCAAGGCCAAAGCAGAAGCTCAAGATATTGGGATGAGGTGGGAAGTCTGAGGAAGTGTGAGATGAAGCTGTGACCCGAACAAGTGGATGAAGATGGTGGACAACCGTCGGGTGAACATGGTGGGTCGCGACCCATCTCCCAATTTTTGGTGCGAGGATTGGTGGGTGCTGTGCTTTGTTGGGTGATTTCTTTTCTTTTCGGTCGGGTGAAGAAGCAAAGCTGCGCCAGCAGCAAGAGACATGTGTTTTTTGTTTTCAAGAACTGGTATAGACGTCGTTTTCATCAACCGTCTACACCCGGGAACCTGTCTGTACTGTGCCGGGCCCGACTGGGTGCGCCAGGCCGCGACTGATTTCAGGTGGCGGAGACGGAACTGGGTGGTGACCCCAAGACCGACCGGGACTGGACCTGCAGTGGGCCTGAGTGGTCCAACCAAATGGGAGGCTGAGTGGTCCATCTCAGCATCTCAGCAGCATCCATTGCATGTGGAAAATGGCCCATGAAGTGATTTGGGCAGAGGAATCATTAAAAACGAGGTACGGTTCACATTTGGTGGTCCCTTCTGTTCATGTTACAATCCAGGAATCCACTGTAGGCAAAAGATGGAACCTCTGGGACCATATTCGCACATGGGAAAGCTAAGGGAGTGACTTCATTCGCCCTCCCGCATGGCCCTGGCCCTCATGCTGCTGATTTCATCCCGGCATGGCTCGCCTGAGGTCTTTCGCCATTTTCATGATTTTCCTGGCGTTGAAGGCGACCAGAGTCGAAGCGAACAGACGCGTAGTAACCACATGCGGAAGACTCGGGCGTAGTATGTACCTGAAGACACCCATCAAAACGTTTTGTTCATGGCGTTGTAGAGTTGATGACTAGGCCAGGCACTGGTTTATGTTTAAACACATCAAAGCTTTGTTTCAAGTGTCTTAAAGCAAAGAAAGGAACACATGCTGTGCAAATGAGAGTTGTGGAACAAATCTGGTTTGGGACCCTGCAGGCTGATTCTTCTCGAGCGCATGAGGGTCTGGAGGAGAGTGCTTGTTGTTGGTCAAGCTGTTAAGCTTGCTTTTAGATGGAATTCCAAGTGCATTCTTTGTCCAGAAGCACATTCTTCGACTCGTCTCTTTGTCCAGATCGGACGCAGCCTTTGAGTCTTCGGTACCTAGCTGTTGCAGCACAGGTATACTGTGCAGTGAGGAGTCCTTGAGTCAGTGCGCAGTCTTGGTTTCCGTCTCAGCCTTCCTTTTTTCCGGACCGAGATGAACGCTGCACTTCCGTACCCCCCCGAACAGTCTGTCCCACCGACATGAGCGGCCCCATTCCTTTGAAGGAAGGCTTGTTGAAACAGGGCAGTTTTCACTTCGGGCCCGTGGGCTGAGATTCGGCAGATTCGGCATCTCTTCCCAGAAATGCGAGGATTCACAATCGATTCTGCACGACCCCTCTGGCGGTCCTGGTTTTGGGGGGCGACACATCTGGGCCGTGGGGAGAGCTTGCAGGACACGGGGAATGGTTTCATTTGGACCGACGAAGAGATGGCAGAGCAGCGGCGCTCAGTGGGACGTTCGATCTCAGAGTGGTTTGGAGGGAAGTTTCACCCACCATTCTGACCATTCTGGATCTATGTAGCAGACAAGGACTGGAAAGTGCTCAATTGATATCATCTTTGCTACGTCGGTTTGGGCGAATTGACCCGGAAGCGACTGGAGATGTGATCTTTTTGGCGCGTCTAGCCCCGAAGCAATAGGTTGCTCATGAGTACTTCTCTCTTGTGTGCCGTTCAGAGTTTTTGAGACAGGCCTTGTGACTGAGAACCCGTCGACTGACCCCCTGCGAGAGCTCTCGGCCTTGCTCAGGAGTTTTCCAGCCATCGCGCAGATGCCTTTAGGCTCTGCGAATGACTTTGGAAACATTCTGGGTTGGGGCCAGCCGGGAGCTCAGACGGCATGGCACCACTGTGACACCCCAAGTTTCAGCAGCAGTTCTACTTCGCACCCCGACATGTGCCAAACGGCGTGAGCGAGTCTGGAGTGAGAGAACTCACTCGCGTCTCACGGGGCGTGACGAACTGAAGCCGGCCTTTTTGGGAACGAAACTGACCGGCACGGCCCCATGAACTTGGAAGGCAGGTAGTCCATAGGGCCCCACCTCGGCATCGGATCGGAGGAGTGACCACCATGCGACCGGTGCCCCACCGGTGCCCCAGCTTCTCCCGGATTTTGCCCACCCGAAAGCCATCCACTGACCCTCCGGCCGCGTGTGCCGGTTCTCCTCCCTCACCGGAGCCTCACCGCTCCGCTCCAATAACCCCACCGGACTCGACGACCGCCGCGCGCCGCTCGAGGAAATATCCGGGCGACGTGATGTGCGGCTCTGGCCCCTGCGGTGCACGAGAGGCGGGCTCCGTGGGGCAGGCGGGCGAAACGGCGGCAGCGCGGGGCCTATGGACCGCAAGCCAAAGAAGCGTGGGTCCGTGGGTGGCAGAGCGTTTGGTGGAGCAGAGAGCCCTAGGGCTCCAAGCCCGTGCCAGGCGGGCGGACGTGGGAGCCCCTAGAGAAGAGATGTTTCCCAACACTACCCTGAGCCTCACCCCTGGCTTCATCGAGCACGAATGGGGCTTCACATCGATCAGAAGGACCAGCGCAGCGCAGGTGCAACGACCCACCTGCAGGTTTTGGGCACCATGGACATCCATGGACCGACTTCCCCAGGTCGTGAGTTGGAGGATGTTTGACGAGGTGGCCCACTGACAACAGTGGTGTATTCCATGGTAACGAGCACGGGAAGTTGTACAAAAAACTCTGTTGCTTTTCTGGTTCACCACAGATTGGGGTTTTCATCCAGACCCTTCAATCCTGCCGGGTGTGTCTGAACAAGGGGATGTGAATGCCGGGGTAGCTAGAGGAAGTGAGAGGACTGCTGTGTAGCAGACAATAGGGGCGTCAGTCAAAGGCTACAACACATTACAAAACAGTGCCATAGAAGCTGAATAAGGCATATATATACTATATATATATTACATATATTACATATGTATTAAATGAACATATATATATATATATAAATATTGAATGAAACGGGCCACACATTTGCCGCAGGTCTTTTCGTTTTCTGCATGTTCTGTCCCGGCGCTTTCCCCCCAAAAAAAGCATCGGACTCGTGGCGTTCGAGGCGGCCTTGTACCAGCTGCAGCGGTGGGTGATGCTGGCTTGTTGGCCAAAAGTATGACGTATGTGACGTGCCACAAAACGACCGCAGTAGTGGGTAGAAGAAAGCATTTTCTTCACTTGTTGGCCATGCTGGAACCAGCAGTTGGTCTCTAGGTTCTCAGTGACTTTTCAAGAGGTTTTATCAAATGTAGTCGCCGGTTTGGCTGATGAGTCGTGGTGTAGAACTGATGTCGCGAAGATTCAGCTATTTGACTTCACTTCTTGCTCTAAAGAAACATGTATTGGAATAGGACCCGACCGTGCGCGCGGCCTGTCCCGTCCAGCTGACCCAAAAAACCGCGTGTCTTTTTCTGGTCTTCTGGTCCACCATGTTTGGTCCTGCGACCCCGAAAAAGGGGTAGACCTTCGACCCTGCCCCCTCCCAGTAACTACCTAAACACACATGGTGGTTGTAGTGGTAGGGGGCAGACTCAAAGGTAGACCCAATTTTCTATCCTACCCTAAACCCCGACCCTGTTGATCGACCAGCCCCTCAGCTCCCGCACCAGACAGGTGCCGATCGAAGCTTTCCGCACAGAGTCTCCCCCCTCGGTGGTTTCAGATATGGGCGTGTATTTCAACAGGGAGACCTCCCAGTTCGACCCCTAAAAGAAGGGAAATGAACCAAAATCTGTTGGTTGGGGATCTCCCTATTCAGATACACACCCATATATGTTCAATCCTTTAGTTTGACCCTTTAGCTGGGATGATTTGTCATCTCACTGGAATCCCACTGACTTGAACCATTGTTCGTTTGGTTGAACCGTTGAAACCAATAACCATGACATCCAGTCCGACTTCGCCCATACAAAATAGAGAATGGTTGTTGGACACCCATTTCCCTTCTTGCGACGCTTGCGAGGCTATTTATAGACACCTCCAACGGCTCAGGTCCTGGTCGAGGTCACTCAGATTCATGGGAAACCGCCCAAAAGTCACACCCAGCGCCGTCCTCCGTGATCCGCGCGCGGCGCGAGCGACGCGCTCCGCAGATCAGCGCCGTGATCGATCCCAAGAGCCGCATCGTGAACTTCGACGTCTGGGGGTCCGGGCGCCCAAATCCGGTGGTGCGAGAAATGCCGGTGGACTGGGGACTGGGAGAAATGCCGGTGGGGAGAAATCCGGTGGAAACCGGTGGGCGCGGGTGTTTGGGGAGGTTTTCTCGAGGGTTTGGCCTCAGAACCTGAGGAAGCTCCAAAATACAAAATGGAGACACCGTTGAATTTGGGGTGGTTGATTTCAGAGGTCTGTCTGGGGCGGCATATGTTCCAGCAGTTCCATGAGTCGTGTCTGGGAAAAGTACCTCACAGCTTCAATACATGGAATTTCTTGAATTCAGCTCCCACATGGCTCTTCTCGACCAGTCAAGTAGACCGCTAGTCAGGCGGCTCAAGCTCTCTGGGTCTCTAAAGACGAGGTGCCGAGTCCGGGGGGCTGCTGCCCTCGACCGTTCGGAGCTTTGGAGCTCTGAGGTTTATGCCTCCCAAGGGCTCGGACCAATGTAACTTCAAGCCGCCTGGGTGGCAAGTTGGAAATGCAGCCGAAATCTGAAAAAAAAAGAAGGACCGCATGGGGGACAGCCATTTTTTGCAGAGGAGAGTGCCAGTTTTGATTCCAAAATCTCGCACAGGATTTGGGATTTCGATTCAGAAAGAAGCCTTGAAGATGCTCTCAGACTTTGGACCGACTTTGAACCATACACTGGCCAGACAAATTCTTTGCGCTTCTGAAGAAGCACAAACTCATGTCAACCCTTTACCCCCTAGAAATCCTACATGGTTAACAAACCAGCAGTCACAAAAGGGTGCCTATTGGAGGATAGGGGTGCCCATTATCTACTCACTTATGGACTAAAAACCACCCCTTTGTGACTTTTGTCTGCTTGAAGCCCTTTTTTCACCAACCGTTTGTCTGCCCGGCGCGCTCACCGCGCACCGCGCGAACCGGCACTGAAGTAAGGCTCGCTGAGCTGACCGGCCAACGAGGGCGGAACCCCAACCGCAAGATCGATGGGAAGCATCAGGTGGTGCTCAAGCAGGTTGGGGCTGTGCAGGGGGGCTGTTAGGGCCGGCAGAATACACGCCGCCAGGGTGGGGAAACGGTGCACGGTGCATTTTGTAATTTTAATAGAGAGAGAACCCAACCAATGTGTTTTAGTCCATTTCTCTTCTTTCAGAAGGTTTTGGGAGGTCTCCCTATATATTTTAGTATACATATTAATTCACACCCATACTTGTATGGTGTGTGACAGTGCGTCCTTCGTTGTTCGAAAAGCAACGTTCGTCCCTCCACCTGTTTTGGTGGTCAAAAGACCGCACAAAAACAAGTGGGCAAACACACGCAAGTCCGGTCCAACAAAGACTGCGAACGCGTCGAGGCAAACACGCACTTTCCCACAATGGTCAGGCTGGAGAGCCTTAGGCAAGCTTTCATTCTCAGGTTCAATGTCCCCAGACTGCGAACGGCCAGAAACCATTGAGGCTGTGGTCCAGTCTCTCCAGCCAAACATCAAAGTCTGCAGGCTACTTGGCCAGGTGACGCGTTCCAAGCTCTGGTTCAAGTCTGCAGGCTGCTGAAGAAGCAGAAGCCGGCCGAAGGTTTCATTCGGTTTCTTCTGCCAGGTTTGGCATGCTTCACTCGCCAGCCATGCGGATCCTTCCGCCTCTGCATCAAGCCCACTCAACGGCAAAAACTGGACCTTTCTGATTCGGCAACTGTCTCTGCAAAAGAAAGAATGCTGCAAATCACAGCCGTACTCAGTAGCGAGGTCAAGCCAAGTTCCGCCGATAAGCCTTTCAAAGGCACGCTGCAAAAAACGCGTCCTCGTTGTCAAAATCTTTAGGCGTTGGACACCATGTCCTGCGTCCTGGAAATGTTGTTTGGACCAATGTGCTATTCACTCAGACGTGCCACCGTCGTGCGTTCGTGAGCATGTTTTTTTATCGTTTGCCGCGCGTCGGACAACAACAAACAACAAGCGATTGGTTGGGCGACCTGCCGTGCGTCGGAAAGCTGATCCCCTACACCAAAAGTCATGTCGGTTTCATGTTCAAAGCAAGCCAAGAGACAGGCCTGTCCAGGTTCTCAAACCACTGGTCGTCCTGGTTCTCTTTGGTGGAGCTGGTCGTTGGGGGGTCCAGCTGTGACCGTTCTTGACCTCCCCCGCGAACACTGCCCGGGTCACAGGCCGGAAAACCTGTGCCGTTCTTTGCCGCGCTCTGAGTGGAGAACATGTGGAGAAGCCCGTGAAACCTGGAACCAGAAGCCTGCAATGCAGAAGACTTGCAAACGAACACTTGTTCTATACCAAGCTTTGGGAAAAAAGCACCATGGTTGACAGCCCAAAAAACCTGAAACACTTCCGCGCCGAGGTGTGCTTGTACTTCTCAGCCGGCATCGGAGTGCCTTGTTTGGACACAGCTGACGGAACGAGCGCAGACGGTGACGGTGACCACAGCGTTTCAGTGACCACAGTTTCAGTGTTGCCAGGATTGCACCGGGCAATCTGGGCCAAAACCACAAGTGCTACAACCCACAAATTTGGGAGGTTTCCAAGTCACAGTACGGGGGAGGTGGGACAGCTTGCGGCCATCAATGTGGTGGTTTCTCTAGGCATTGGTCAAGAAAACAGTTCCTCCATGGGCCAACTGGAGATGTAGAATATTGCTAAAGAAAGGATCATGCTTTCCACTGCCTACAATTGTTCTTGCATGGCTCATGCAAGATATCCCGTAGTCCCATCGCACCCATGGCACATCATTTTGACCAGTTCATCACTTTTCAACCATCAGCAGGGTGGCACTGTTCACCTCTTCAGGGGGCCGTTTTTCGTGGCCAACCTCGGTGTCCGGTCGGACGCGTCTCCGGACCGGACGTCCGCCCCGGTCTCCACGGTCTCCGGAGTCGGAGCGACGTCGCGGAAGTGACCCAACAACGGAGCCACTGGAGCGGCCGAGGCCTACATGACGTCGCGCTTCCAGATCAACCGGCGGAAGACGCCGCTGAGGAATCGCGCGGAGCCACTCGGAGGGCAAACACGGGGGTTTTTGAGCTCCCTGTGGATCGGGGAAGGAAGCTTGCTAGGTGCTGGGGGTGGGAGAAGAATCAAAGAGATCAGGCCTCAAGACTCCAAAGGGTGTTTGTGACTGGTAGGAAACAAAATACGAATGACCAGTTTTTTTTCCCGGACACTGAACAGGTCTAGGTGTTCGTCCAGTTTTTTCAGGTCCCGTTCATCTCGTCTCCCATGGTCGGTGCTTTCAAAGTCAGGGAGCTTTGGCAGGGTCGAAAATGGGTTTCCAAAGGTTTTCGAACAGCTTCACATTTTCAAAGCAAAGGCAGTGAGCTTTAGAGCCCAGAGATTGGTTTGCGGTTTCGGTTTCCTTCAGAGTTTGAAGTCACCATGGAGTTTGGAACAGGTGAATCGGTAGTTTCGATGGATCGATACGAGTTTCACTGGTGGGGCCCACAGGGCTCTGGTGGCGCCCGCTGAAGCGATTTTCCACGTGATTGCTCTTCAGGTACGTGAGACAATTGCTTGGTATTGTCTTGGAGTCAAATCCACCGCAGCATCTCCAGCTTGTTTGAGCTTTGCTGTCGAACTGACCATGAATGTGGCGGTTTTTCGACGGCTTCATCAGGTTTGAAGCGGCTTTCATGCGTGCAAGCCTGAAGACATTGTTGCCGTACCTCCAGCCTTCAAGAACTTTACTATGTTTTGGTGATGTTCATGACCAAACGACCCCCCTGGTAAGAGCTTGCAGTACTTTGGGTGAGTTTAGTATGGGTGATCATGGAACAACTGACCATTCTTGGCTCCAAAACGCAACAAAACTATACAAAACTGACCAAAACCATACAAAACTGTCCCAAACTGGATGACACTTCACTCTGACCCCGTCCACTCCCCTGCCGGATTTAATACCTGGGTTCCTGCCGGGTCCACCTTTGCCCTCCCCACAGTCCCCACTCCGCTCCGCGTCATGAGCCGTCTCGCCGCTCTGCGCGCTCCGCGCCGCCAGATTGGCGGGGCGGCTGAACGGCGTCACCATCGACTGCGAGGATCGACCGCTCGGGGAGCCCAGCAGATTCCGCCCGTCGGTCGGGGGGGGGGGCGAGCGAAGCACCGATCTGGTGGAAGCGAAGCACCGGGGGAGTCCGGTGGGACGTGAAACAGCGGTCTGGTGGGGGCTGTTTGGGAGGCTGTAACTTGTTCGGCGAAACAACCAAGGTAGACTGCTCGGACAGGGGTTTCTCATGGTTTCTCTACAAAGGAGACGGTTTTCCCGGGTGCATGTTCGTTGGTTGGGTACAGTAATGGCAGAGCGGCAGTTGATGGCGGCGAGCTGCCATGAAAAAAGCATGTTTGGAGTGAATGGAAAAGGATGTCTCCCAAATGATGGTTCTAAGGTTGTTCCAAGTTCTGATGATGTTTGTGTTCGTTTCTTCCCCCTCATATAGTTCTACAGTAGTTTCGATGACGAGGTAGGATGACGAGGTGGGGTCCCCGGACATGTGCCGAATTCTTCGTCGTGCTCATTTTTTTGGTGGTACAAATGCAGGCACCATTGGAGCCCAGAGTGACAAAGACTTAGTTTTGTTCCCATTCGTGCTTGCCATGGAGAAGAAAAGGGATTATGGACAAAGCAGTGGGGCGTCACCATGTCATGCTGCATTTCGTCTTAAATATTCTGAAGAGCTCATATCTTCACATCGCTTCACAGGGTCGACGGCTAAGTCACTGCCTTTGGCGAACTTCTCGTCCGCGATTCGGGGCAGGTATTTCCCTCCTCGTCGGCACCTGGCCAACCAGAGCAGGATACCGACATCGAACGGCCTCGAAGATGCTTGAAGAAGCATGAAGAAGCAAGGTGTACTGCTTTGGGTCAGTCTCGGTCCACACACTAGGCCAGTCATGTCAACCACATGGAAAAACTCTTAGTCTTAGCAGGGTTCATGGTTCACACAATTCTTTATAATGTATGTTGAACAATTCTGCACCGGCTTCGCATAATTACCAAAAGAAGACTTAGGCCCAAACAATTTTTAGCGTCAAAGCACATCGCATGTCACTCTGTTTTGACGAGTGTTTCGACTCGTCAAAGCACATCTCAGTCAGAACCTGAGACTCGATTTGGCGACTGAACACGTGCAGGAAGTATCGCGAGGTGGGCTTTTACAACATCAATTGGCAGGCATCGCCACACGTCTCGATGGGTTCACCCACCTCGAAGTTCTCGACGAGAGGTGTAGATGAAAAGTGTCACATGTTGGGGATCTCAATTCAAATTGCTTTGAGCAGGACATTGGTGGATCCAGCAACCCAAACTCCGAAGACTGGAAAAGACTGGAAAGACACCAAAGACTCTCCATCTCATGCCAGAAGACGGATCCCGATCCTTTCGTTGCTTGACCCTTAGAGGCGCGGGGTCTTCCCTTCGATCCTCTACAACCCCCCAGAGGTTTGGGCGGTACTCCCGCGTGGTCTGCCGCCGTGACCTGCGGTACTCCCGCGTGACCCCCTTATGGGAACTCTCGCGCGACCGTTCACTGGGGTTTCTCTTTCGACCGGATGACTGGATCCATCCAGAGTCGACAGATGATAGGAAGTCCGGAAACGACCATGGCTAAAAATGGACACGATCCGGTATTGGTGGTGCAGACCAGACCCCAAATGGCCCAAAACAAGGGTTTCTTCGGAATTCCAGGCGATTGAATCCATATGAATTCACCACGGTTCTTCGACTTCTTCTATAGGGAGACCGGGTGTGTGTATTTGATTATATACATATATATATATATACCAGGACCCGACACTGTGGGGTGCCCTGTCTGGAAGCCTATAGGTAGTGTGGGGTAGTCCAGCCAGGACACCCCGACAGGAGGGTCCAGGTATAGGCTGTTGATGATTGATTAAGACATCCATGTGAAGAGGTTTAGCGTATCCAACCCTGCAAGGTTTTCTTCTAAACCGCACGTCTACGTCTACCCGGACCTTACGAATCCACTCGAAAAAGAAAAGAGAAACATCTCGCGCCGCGGTGTGTTTGGGCGTCCGGTCCACAGACGGGCACATACGAGGCTCACGGCTTGCATGGCAAAGACCGCGCTCCTTTGGGCAGCCGGCTTTGTGGCTGCTGCGCCAGTCGACAACCGGTGACCTTCAATGCCCGCCCGACGCTTTGGACGGATCTTCGCCGCGCCGGCGCGAAGCGCCTGCGCTTTTCGCTGGACTTTTTCGGGTGTTCCGATCGAACTTCAAAGAATCTTCTTGCACTTTCGCATGTTTTCTTTGCTGAGATGTTGTGACATGTTGTGACACAGTGGTGGAGATTGCGTGGTGTGTGCTGTTCATGGAAGGTTTGTCTCAATGGGAGGATTGGCTCCTGTTGAAACACAGAATCATGCTGATTTCAGAAGGAATCCTGCACAGCGGTTATTCCAGCTGCTTGTAGTGTTTCAGAGGTTGTTTGGGGTGTTCCAGCTGCTACAGGTCCTCCAACCTTTTCGTCTATCTGATGGCCAGGATGGGAAGATCGACATGTTTCGGTGGAAGTTTGCGTCCTTCTTCAAGAACCCAGGAGTGCCTTTCTCAGAAAATCACATATATGCCAGTGCCTTTCTTTGTGAGCTCATTCCAGCATCTTCCACGTCACGTTGTCACCTGTTGTTTCACAGATGTTGGTTTGATGGTCCGGTATCTTCGAAACCCATTCCCAACCAGAAACAGTTCTGGTTGTTCCAATATGGCGCCAGTTATGGCGCCATCTTGAGATCCTTCACATAGAAAATGGCTGGGACTGGGAAAACATCCATTTGTTTCTGGTTGGGACACGGTTTTCGTTGGTAAATCAACAGGCTTACCTCCGCACAAGCTCACTCAGCCTCTTGCTGAACCGTGTCTGATGTTCTCTTGGCCGAACATTCCCGAACAAGAACAACAGCGTGTCTTTTGTTTCTATATAACTATAACTCATCGAAGCTTGCGTCACCATGCTGTCACCTGAAGATGCACCAGATGTCATCAGCACGTATGACTAGAGATCCATGAGAGCCTCTCATGTCAATTCACCTGTTTTGGATGCCAAGCAACCTCGAATATGGGAGTCATACTTCATAGATGCCACCACCCGTGTGCTTTTGCGCTTCTGAGGTCACAATGCAGACAGACAAGAAGGAGGCTGGTATCGTTTCTTGCCACGTGTCACTTCCAAGTTCTGTTGCAAGTCAAGTCTAGATAGATAGGTCCTTAGGTCTAGATAGCTTTTCCACCCCTTGGAAAATAGGCGCAGGTCTCCTATTTTCATCTATGTTCCTTTTCCAGATCTTTTGCACCTTGGTTGACTCGATGAGGACATGCTCCTGACCTTCAGCGCTGGTGCGGGCAAGGGCGTCTTCTTCCAATGGGACGGAGAGCCCGGGCCCCACTAGCACCGCACCACCGCACCACCGCACCAGGCGGTCTGCATGGTGAGAGTGTGCGAAGCAAAAGAAACGGGGGATGGAGGACTGAATGATGCGATGGATGGAGAAGTCGACTTGAGACTTGTCGACTTGCGAATCTGGAGTTCAGTGTTTCATAGTGTTTCTCAAAAGAAATTGTGATGTCAGTATCCCATGTTCCAGAATTTGGATCTGGGGTTATTACTAGCCAAGAGCCAAGAGGCAACAGCGATTGCTGGCAAGATTCTTGGGCATCCACAAGGCAGGCTCCCTTGGGGAATAGTGATAAACCACCCTCAAGGTCAAGACCTTTCTAATCCTTTTGTGCTGGTCTTTTGCCTCGTTGGCTTGCTTGGCCAATTCGATGGGACATACGCGGCACACGTTTCTGACCCGGCTGGCCGCCTCGGCCTTCCGCCTCACATGGACCGCCCTCCGTGGCCTGACCGCCCTGACCGCCCTCCGTCTCTCATCCTCCGTGGCCTTCGGAGCGACCGTTGAGCCGACCGTTGAGCCGACGAAGCCCACCGAGGTCGCGCTTTGCGTTCAACCCCAAGGGCGAGGACTTTCAGATCTTCATTCGCAAGGCGAAGCGCCGAAGAAAACGTCATGTAGCGCATCCACGGTGGAAAGTTCAATTGAACCCAATTTTACGGGCAACCATAAATAACTTGGATGTTCGACTGAAGCCTTCACCCCCAGTGGTTTCAGAGGCTCGATGGCACAATCCCCAAGTTAGGAGGTTTATATGGGCCTCCTGTCGTAGGACCGAACCGACTGGGCTGATGGGGCAGAAGGCTAGGCAGCTAGGCCACCGCCAGACACCAGGCGCTGCCCACCCCCCAAGGCAAACGAAGCAAATGCATCCAATGATTGACCTGGCATCCAGGATCACAGTAACAGTGAGTGACCTGGCAGTGAGGCTAATTTACAACCCTATGCAGCTTATGCAGCACCCTCCACCCTCCACCTGGCGTGGAGCCTGTACTTACAACCATAGACCCAAATTTCGAATGACCACACTCACCTGACATGTTCTCGTCGCACTCCCAAGAAACTGACCAACGGCACCTCCAACAGCAGATTGGTGTGTACCAGGCAACGACCCCCTTCATGGGATCATGTCGACTCAGCGCCACCACGAAACCCACCCCGTGCTGGACGGCCCTTCTTCACAGCCTAGCCAGCATGCTTTGCCAGCCTGGCAAGCCTTGCAAAGCACCAAGTATGATGAGAACAACTGCAGCTAGCAGCAAAGCCACATACGAGAAAGACAACGAGAAAGACTAGCATGGCAATTCATCACCTGCGACAGCAATCACCAGCGGCGGCCTCCCAGTGCGCATCCATTTCGTGGGAAGGCTCACCCCGTTGTACGGCCAGGGACACCGGTCTGACCAGTGCCATATCCATGTATACATGTATGGCCATCCTGCTATATGCTGCTTCGGTCTTCCATGCGTGTTTCAGGGAGTGTATGCGATACTGCTAGACTGAAGCAACTTTGTTGAGCTGCCTTAAACTCTCCACAAGGTCACCGCAAAGTGGGGGGAGCGTAGAGAAGCGGCAACATACCAAATCGAGGCTGTCCTTGCATCAGGTTTTGGGATGGGGAAGAGATCAATAACGTGGAAAACTTGAGATTGGGGACATTTGGAGACGTTTTTGGAGTGTCGACACTCCACACGTTTCGAAGCTACTGCTGTGGCATGGCCTGTTACACCAAGACACTCCAGGAACCTGCCCCCCCGCGAATTCTGGAGGTGACATTGGGACTTCTCATCCCTTTGGAATCCGACTTCTTCGCAGTACCGGTTGGTCCACCACCGAATCACCGATGGAACACGGACCTGGGAAGCCTGACGGCCTCAGGCGAGGCCTGGGGGCGTCGTTGTTTTCAGTGCGCTCTCCGGTCAGGTGTTAAACGTTCCCGTGGTGATTGGGCCCTGGGTGAACACCGGCCGGGCACCCAGGAATGCAGAGGGGTCCATCATCGAGTTGAATGGTTTTCCATTAAACACATCCAAAACAATTCTCGCACTACCAAGCGTTTTGAACACACTCAATCCATGTTTTTTGGCCATGTGAGTTTTGGACATTGTATTTGAGTTGGTTTGCTCGAATCCTGTGGCACAACCTGCCGTCTCAGGACTCACTGGGAACTTGGATAATGGCGATCCTGCCGATGCCTTGGCAATCAGAGCCAGCCTTCAGCAGCCTTCAAGTCAGATTATGGTCAGTGACAGTGACGACATTGCTCTCGCCAAGCATTTTCAAAAATTTGAAGGAAAGACACTGGTAGCATCTCAGAATCGAGGTCCCTGCATTTTCTCACTCTTTGAGGGCTCTTCTGGGTCGAGTGTCTTCTCAGATCTTCTCAGGCTGTACGAATTAGTTCTGTAGTCCCATGGCGGCTATAGCCGGCTAGCCCGTCTACCGCTGCGACGTCGTTTGGGAACAAAGCATGAATCAATATGGACAAGCCGAATTCTAGTAACAAGTGCATCGCTACTAGTAACAAGTGCATTACTAGTAGCAGGAAGCTACTAGTAGCATCTAGTAGCTATTTGCTACTAGTAATGCACTTGTTACTAGTAGCGATGCACATGCCAGTCCCAGAAACCGGTTGCGTCTGGGCCTTTCGAGCTCGACATGACATGTCAATGTTTCCAGCCTCTTGCATGCAGTGACTCTCTGCCTCTTCAACAGCCCCAACCTCGCTGAGCTTCAGGGCCAACGTCTTCAAACCTTTTTGCAACGACCGCTGGCACGACCGCGCCCTCCCAGCAACACGGAAGAGCTTTCCGCCATTCCGGGCGCCGGTAGACGACGGTCTCCACGGCTTCGGCGGCCAAGGTGAGCTTTTCCTTCTGTGGCCGGACGCCTGAGGAGGTGGCAGCTGTGAAGAGGTGCCGGGGGGGGGACCCGGTGGGGCGATGAAGTGGTGGGGGGAGAAACCGTGAAAACCCGGGCCCGGCCAAGTCATGGGCGGAAGTGAATCGAGTTGACAAGTCTTTTTGGAGTTGTTTTTTTTGTTCAAGGTAGACTTGGTTTCCAGACTCACAATTCCGGGGTAGACAGTTCTTTTCTAGGGTTCTCAGATATGACATGACCTAGAAAATTCATTGATGCGGAGTGAGTCGACTTGGCAGGCGTGCTCTTCAAGCTGTTTCTGGACATTTAGATGCCGAGCTGAATGCCAGCGCTGAGGAGACGGCCACTCTTTGATTGAGCTTGGATGTAAAGACGGAAAACCCGGAACGGTTTCCCGAACTCTCCTTGAATTGGACCCTATAGAGTCAAGGGTTTCGGAGGATGCATACAGTACTCTTTGGACCCTCATCTTCACCTTTGAGGGTTCATGATGCTGACATATTCTTACCGAGACACTCAATGTATGGCATATGAATCCATACATTGGGGTGCATGAAAAAAGGGTCAATGTAGACATATAATATACACCATACATGGAGTGTCTGGGTTAGGGCAATACAAGAGTCCAGTTCTCAGCGCTTTTTCCTGACCTCTGGCAGGTGAGGCTGCCGTCTGCCGAAGAAGAGCAAACTTTGGGGCCCCTAGCTTGCTTGGGTGTGTATTTGAATAGGCGGACCTCCCAAGCAATGGGTAGACGGGTCTATTTCGCTAGGTCTCGGTCTCCCTATTGAGCTACACCCCCATGATCTTGGAAAGTGACCCGAAAACTCCAGTGACTTCGACGATTTTTGGGAGATTCCTCGGAAAAACGCCATGTTCGCACGTATTTCACGCCATGGTTCGCTCGGAACCAACGGAGCGATCGCGCCTCGAACCGTTCGCGATCGGACGGGGCTGATGGCACCGTGGCACGGGTGGTCTCCCGGTACCAGGAGCTCCAAGCTGCGGGCATGCACTCGACAGGTGGGGGGACATAAGCTTCCACTGCAGGCGGGAGAAGTCGCACGTCTCACGTCGCCTCACGTGCCAGGGGGAGGAATGACCGTTGGAATGCTAGTCGTCTACTCGTGACTTGCGAACGGGAGAAGGACGAGTCGGGAGATATCTTGCCGGAGCTTGGGCGAGAGCTAAAAACCGCTGAGCTGAGAAAGGCGAGTGGAAGCCGCACACGGATGGTAGAACGCGATGGAGTCCTGAACCCCCAGTTGGGGTGGTAGACATGGACAACCCTTGACCTTTAAGGGGCACCCTTTCCGTGGTGCTGGGTCGTGTTTTATGGTTCTGTCCGCTTTCTTGGAGTCGAATGCCTCGGGGGGGACGCGCTAAAAGCTCACGCGGGTCGCGTGATTTTCGAGCGGCTCCTGGCAGGACATCATTGAGTTGGCCGCCGATCGGCCGATATCGGTCCTGAGGCACCGGTGGTCAGCGGAAGGAAGCAAGGTCGTTGACGTGGAAAGCGTGGTATCTAGCGGTCAAAAAATGGATTCCTTTTGGCGTCGAAGAGCAAGCATGAAGAGAAAGGTTGACCTGGCTTTTTCATCTTTTTCGTTCAACCGGTCCTTTGCAAAACAAGGGTTGATCGGGAGAGTCCCATTCAAACAAATGGTGGTCGGGTTCATCCTCATAGACTCTGTATCCGATGTAGCGTGTTGACTCGGCCAGGTTCCTGTTGACCTCGGCCGACCGAAAACCCCGGACAGGCCGAACACCTGCCTTGAGCTTTAGGCTGGTAGGCTGGAGGGTCTCAGTAGGGTGTGGCTCCCAAAACGTCGTCCCACCCAGGGCAAGCCCTCCACAGAGCGGCACCGGATAAAGAAAAGTGGTCCTATGCCAGTTGGACAAATTCATGTGGAAAAACAGCTGTCTAGGCTTGTCACCCAGATTTTCGGAGCCATACCCATTTATGACCCACGTTGATCGCATTGCTGCCGCACCGGTCGTGCATTGTGGTAGACCGACCAAGAAGAAACCACGAGAGGTTGGCAAGGTTTATCCCATGAGCCCGTGGCCGTTGTACGGTTGGCGGTTGCGATGGATGGCGCAACACCGAATGGGTGTCGTGATCTAAGTGTGGGTCAAAACGAAGTGAGGAACTTTGTAAAATCAAGAAACATGATGATCCTCGCAGCATCACGTTGCCTTTGTGTGTTACATTTGTTTTGAGACGATGCTGTTCTGTTGGAGAGGACGATGCTCGGTTCCCACCATGTTTTGATTCCATGCTCGGTGGGGCCTAGAACTTGGATACTTGAAGATCCAGAGATCGACCAACGACAATGAAGAATCCTGAAGAAAGTATTTCTTGGATCTTTCTCGGATTTGGTTTTTCACAATTCAATTTGATCGTCTTGACGTTTTCACCGCCATGTGAATGAAATTCACGGGAGCGAGCTCAGAAGGAGGTCAGCTCAAGTTGTTTATACTATACACTCTAGGTGTGCACCAAAGAAATATACAGGACATATTAGAACATTTAAATACATCTATAATATATTTTTAAATATATTAAATAAATTCTTTCAAATAATTCGGCTTATAAATAATGGTTATGGTTATTATTTATTAATATTTACATCTACTGGAGCGTATTGCACATCTTGGACAACAAACATCGGGGATTCACAAATTCACAGCTTTGCGTCCAGTGAATCAAGAGAATTTGCTCCAGGATGCAGTAGTGGCCATCCCGTGGCGCCCCGACTTGAATCTTCGATCCCCAGAAGCTTCCGAACTATATCAACTCCTGCTGAAGTTGTCCAGCAATGGAATCACTTAGCTAGTGCTCCTCAAGGTCCGGTTGGCGAATCTTTAACGGTCGCCACTAGCCAATGCTATCTCCCAACGATTGAGGAAGTGATGAAAGCAGTTATGGCCGTTCGACTGGCTAATGTTGGATCGACCTGCTACATCAATAGTGTGATTCTTGCCCAGGTGTGGAGTTGCACGATGAGCCCGACCTTCAACACTGCCATTTATGGGAACAGCAACTTTTGTGCATGCTTGTGAGTCATGCTGGGGATGTTGTAGACCCATGTGATAGCAATTTCTTACGCCGCATGTTCGTAGATTGGTTCGACACTCACTCGTTCTATGCTCAGCACGATGCCGGTGAATTTGCCGGCTGGTTCAGACAACGACTGTTCGAAAAGACGCTTCCGATGTATATGTAAGCTGGTTGGAGCGCCCGCCTGTTGAGTTCCACTGAAGACCAAGCCATTGGTTTTGCCCCAGTCCCATTGGCATGTGTAGCTGAGGGTTCGACGACTCTGTAATAGCTCATTTTGGATTGGCACCACCAAGAGCCTTTCATTTATAATTTATGCCTTCACACATGATTCACCGTGGCTTTGTCTCCAGATCTCACGGTTTCTTGCCATTGGTGTCAAGAGCACTTGTTCGGTCGAATGGGATCGCCGTATATCTCTTAAAGTGCCCATAATCTTCTGTGATACCCGCATTTTGTGGCATAGCGGCACGGCCTTGGAATGTGACGACTTCCGAGCGACCTTACCCCTTGGCGTTGATTCTGAGGTTGCCAAAACGATATACCTTGTTTGGATTGTGTTACGTCGGCTTATTGATAGCCTTTGGAGTCGGCCGCTTCCTTTGCCATAGAAATCCTTTGATGATTTGCTTGGTGACAGATTTGCCTAATTGTATTTTTGGCTATCCCCTTTTGATGCCTTCGAGCTTGGTATATAGACACACTAGATGCGTCCGGCGAACAAACTCTTTCCACTGCCCCATACGGACAATTCGAAATGATTATTTCACGAAAGGATACGAAAGGTATCTTTTTAGGGGATACCTTGAGTTTGTCTTGCGAAACAAATATTGGCGCGTCCGGATCTGATGATTGATTAATTTAACCCCCCCTCCCTCGAATTGATTTCTTAATACAGACCCCCCACTTCTTTGGAATTGATTTCTTAATATAGACACCCCCCCCGTCCCCTTGGAATTGATTTCTTAATATAGATCTTCCTCTCCATATGAAATTCTAATTACGAAAGGTGTTTCCCGAGGGAATACATACCTAGAATTTATTTTGTGAAGCACGTTAATTTTTTCTTGGGGAACGTTTTCGTGAGTGAATTTCTTATGGTTTTAGGATAATTTAATTTTTATAATGTTTCGATTTAATATTTATCGATGATTTGAGTTATGGGGCAAATTTGTTTTCTTAAGAATCTTTTTGAATATTTCGAAAGAATATATTTAAACATTTAAAATATATATGAATTTATATTTACGAAAGGTCGTTTCCGAGGGATATATCGAACATTGCTTTATTGTTTTGCCTCTCGCGTTTTTTTTTTCGTTGTTTTATTTTTCGTATTTTTCTCTTCTTAAGTGGAAGATGAAATTAATTAAATAAATAAATAAATAAATTAATTATATTGTTTAAAATATATTTATTGTATAATTAATATATATATTATATATATATAATTAAAATTATGTATATTTATTTTATTTCGAATGATTTCTATTTGGCAATCTACTTGGTATTTTATTAGGCATTTTATCTGGCATATTATCTGGCATATTATTTGGCATTTTGTCTGGCATATTATCTGTTATTTTATTTGGCATATTTTCTGGCATTCTATTTGGCATTTTATTTGGCATTTTATCTGGCATTTTATTTGGAATATTTTCTGGCATTTTATCTGGCAATGTATCTAGCAATTTATCTGACACATTATTTGGCATATTATTTGGCATATCTTCTTGTAACATTTTATCTGGCAATTTATCTGGCATTTTATCTGGCATTTTATTTGGCAAACTGTTTGATTGAGGTCCAACGGTGCACACTGCGATCGGATCTTTGCGGTTGAGGTCTAGCGGTGCACACTGCGATCGGATCCTTGCGGTTGAGGTCCAGGGGTGCACATTGCGATCGGATCCTTGCGGTCCGGTTGAGGTCTAGGGATGCACACTGCGATCGGATCCTTACGGTTGAGGTCCAGGTGTGTAGATTGCGAGGGGATCCTTGCGGTTGAGGTCCAGGGGTGCATACTACGCTCGGATCTTTGCGGTTGAGGTCCAGGGGTGCACACTGCGATCGGATCCTTGCGGTTGAGGTCCTGGGGTGCACACTGCGATCGGATCCTTGCGGTTGAGATCCAGGGGTGCACACTGCGATCCGGAGCTGGCCAGACAAGATCGGCGAAGAAGATTGGCGAAGCAGATTGGCGATGAAGATTGGCGAGGAAGGAAGGAAGGAAGGAAGGCAGGAAGGAAGGAAGGCAGGCAGGCAGGCAGGGAGGCAGGGAGGAAGGCAGGGAGGAAGGCAGGGAGGAAGGCAGGGAGGAAGGGGAAGGGAAGGGAAGGGAAAGGGAAGGGAAGGAAAGGGAAGGAAAACAAGGAAAGGCAAAGGCAAAGGCAAAGGCAAAGGCAAAGGCAAAGGCAAAGG